ACTCACTGCTCAGAAGCCAAGAGACAAGAGTTGGTGCAAGGAAGTAGGCTTAGCCAGGTGCTGGCGAAACTGAGGATTTGACAGATGCTGTCCCCAAGGCCATCTCCCCACGCCAGGGAGAAGCAGGGACTCACGTGGGGAGGGACAAGGAAGGAGCGACTAATGGGTCTGCACCAGGATTTCGAGAAACAGGCAGCGTTTTCCAGGAACTGCATTCACGCCCTTTTCATTCCAAATTTGGGGTTGGCAGAATCTGGTGGGCGCCGGTGGGTGTGCTTTCGGTGACTGAACCCTTGTCTTCAACCCCATCTTGGTTTCAGCCAGTTTTGTTTGATTTTCTGGTTTTGTCTATAAGAAAAGGGAACAGAACAAGGACAAAGAGGGAGTTTGTGGCTAACCCCCTCCTCTCAGTGGCGAGTTCGGTCGTTACAGGACAACGGTGTAGATTTCTCAGTTAAAATCTGATCATATTTTTATTTTGTGAAAGAGTAGTTGCTCTTCACTCAGAAGAAAAATGAGAGGTTGATGTCATGTCCTTTAATTTTCAGACAATCGTTTCTTCCCTGGGACCTGCTTAGTATAAAACAAGGAAAGGTTTCTGAAATACACAGAGTATAAAATTGATTTGCACAAAGGAAGCTGACCTTTGAAAACTTGGAATAATATTACCATACTGAGAGCCACTGGGTGCGTATTTCAGGCAGATGGGAAAGCTCGACACACTTCAGGCAGCCATTATTTCTGGTGGTTTGTGCTCATCGGCACCCCTCAACTCTGGGAGCAAGTTTCCTCTTTAGACCAGCTCGTTCAACATGAAATTTCAACATGGAAAGACTAGAAATAACGTTATTTCTTTACCCCTAACTTTGAACGTGGTACACAGAAGTAGGATACTATTAATTCGTATGAGGTGGTACTTAAATAGTTAAAGCACCTCTCCCTCTCTCATCTATACCACCCTGGGTGTTGATCTCACCACCATTTTGCCATTGCCAATAAAAGTGTCTGGGATGGGCCTCTCTGGTGGCGCGGGGGTGAAAGTCTCAGAGCTATGAAGCTATGGCCAGTCACTGCTGCCTGAGTTCGATCCCCAGTCAGGGAGCTGACCCACGTGGGGCAGCAGACCTCTCTTGTCTCCCCGCTGCTCCCCTCAGCAGTGGATTTCAGTCAGTCTGCCTGTTCTGTTCCTGCTGTGTCTCTGGTGCATCCTCTCACACACCCCTACCCCCACCTCTGGCCTACACCCCAGTTCTTGCACGCGTGCATAAATAAAATAAATATTTTTAAAAAAGTGTCTGGGAGACCGAGGGTCCAACACTGAGGCTTTCCCAGGAGGGGAGGAACTAGAAGATGGGACCAGCGCTGGCCTAGCCCTTAAGCTCCTGCCGTTCAGCAAATCCGGGTCTAGTGTGGGGCAGAGGCTGGCTAAGCACGTCCTGTAGTGAGACACAAGCTGTCACTGACCGGAAGACCCCAAGTCCCTCCACTCACATGCGTCTCCCCCCTGCACAGGCAGAGACTCTAGTATTTCTGCTTCTCTTTTTAAGGTAAGCAAACAGCAGCTTCAACCACAGCTGCCGTGACTTCCCCAGGGCGGGCTGGAGGGTCAGGACCTGTGAGTTTTTCCTACTATGTTTTCTGATCCCGATTTTCAGGTTCTGCATTCCTCGGCCACCCCCCACCCACCCCGCTCTGTCAGCAGCTGAGCAGGGACACTGAGGCCGGCTTGTGCCCACCTGGTTGGCGGAAGGGGCACCTGGCAGCGTTTTGGTCACGATCCAGCTCCTTCTAAGGGTTGTAGCTCAGCCATAAATACTTGTCAGTGGCAGAAATGCAGCCTGGAGGGTCGTCATCCCGGAGTAAATCATCCGTTTATTTATCTCCCTGACATGCTTGAAATTGATTATTTTAACTGTATTTATCTTTTTTGATGGGAGGGAAAATAATGGCTTTATGGTTCACGACACTTTCGTCCTCCTATGAATCAACACAGCATTGGGCAGAAAGTGAAAAAAATCAGTGAAAAGGGGCTGCTGAGAGAGACGATAATTCTTCTGTCTCTAAGAGCGAGGCTTGAGGGCTGCCATTACTCAGCCCAGATCTATTAGCAGAACTCGGGGAAAGCGAGTGTTAGGAACTATCGATTCACTCCCCCAAGCTGCAACACCCGGTTGCTTTTCCTTTCTGCTTTTTGTTTTGGAATCGAGGGGCCCAGCCCTGGCGAGTCCAGCCGGCCTGGTGCGGGATGGGATGGTTCAGCGAGGAGACCGGGCTGGGACACCCCAAGGGGTGACGTCTGGAAGGGGCTGGCGCGCTCCCTGGCCCTCGTGTTTTCATCGGTAGCCCTGACTCCACAGGCCCCAGCCGCCGGCATCGTGGGCATCGCCAGGGGAAGCCTGCAGATGACAGGAGCCCCCACCCTGATGCGCTGAAGCAGAGACCCCAAGTGTGCGCTCAGCAACCTGTGGGTGTGCGGGCTCAGGTGCTCTGGGGCTATTAAAGTTTGAGGACCTCAGAGGTGCTGTCGTCTGGTTACTGGGTGCTTGGTGCACAGTCCGGGCTCACCCTATGGGGGGTGCGTCCTGAGGCCGCCTGGGAGGTGCTGCCTGTGCAGCCACACGGCGCGGCCCGACACCTGGGTGCAAAGGCCGCCGAGCGCCTGGGCCGCAGGGACCGCGTGGTGCCAGGGGGGTCAGGAGCCCAAACTGCTGTGCTCCCTGAGCTGCGGGCAGGAGAGTTTCTTTCCCTCTCTCCCTCCTCCGCCCTCCCTCCCTCTGTGAGGGCATCTCACGCAGCTCTTCCTGCACGTTTCTGAGCATTTCCTTAGGAAACAGTAATTAATCCAACGTGCGGGTTTCTAGGGCAGGCGTGACCGCAGAGGCCCATCTCTTTGCTCTTGAGGTCACTCGGCTTATGGTGTCATCGCAGCTTCGGGGGGGAGTCCTTGCACCCCAACAAGCCCATCTACCTCTGCCGCTGTCTGCGGGCAGGTGGTAGCAGTTGTCTCCCCACAGAGCTCTCAAGCCACCCTGGCTCCAGGCTCCTTTCGTGCACTTGTTCTTTCAGGGTTTTTTGTTGGCGGGTCTTCACCTCTTCCTTAGTGTCTTCGAAAGCCTTTTCGTCATCCGAGGACATGTTGGGGACATGAACCAATCTTGTTTTTTTGTTTTACACATTAGGGATCATTTATCCATGTGGAAACTTTATTGTGAACGGACTCATCCTGTCTAGTGATTTGTTTTTGCGAACTGGAAAGTCAGTTCTTTTCCCAGATTAAACAATATCCATTTATATTTTCTACTAATGTTTACATGAAAGAATTTAGATCTTTAGTCCACCTGGATTCTTATTTTTCTCTAGTAAGATCTAAACAGTATTTCAAAGGTAGTTAAACAGTTTCCCAAGGATTATGTCAGTGATAATAACAAGGACAACGGCCACGGGTTTTAAAATCACAACTTCCGTGTCCGCACTGTCATTGCCTGTTGAATTTAACCTCAGCATCTACTCGATTCAAATTCTTCCAGCAGAGCAAGCGTCATCCTTTTATAGTGCTGTGTGATAGTGCCAAATAATTTCCTGTTTTTTGTTTCATATTTTTATGAATTGCCAGGAGCTTAAAAAGGTTAATTTCTTATTTAATGGAGACAACATTTCGCTTTTCCTTTGAGTGATGGTTTTATGCATTTTTTTCTGAATAAATTTCATCTTCCCTCTGCCGCCACATCTGGACAGACCCCCAGCACGCAGTAGTCATCTATTTTACTACTTTTATTCACCTCACCCGGGAAAACAAACACAAATAAAAATAGAGCTTCTTATTTGACGTCGTGTCTCTGCAGTAAAGCTTCCCAAGCCCGAGCGGGTATAAAATACCGTGTTCTGCTCCTGGAAGAAACGGCAGGAACTGGGGAGCTGGCAGGGGTGGGGGATAGTCTGAGGAAAGAGCTCAGAAGACCCCGTGGAAAGCGTCGTTTCAAGTTTGGTCCCATCCAGACAAGGTGGGAATCAGGTGTCTGCCCTGGGCTGAGTTCCCAGGGAGGGGAGACTCATGTGCCCCATTTAAACCACCCCGTTCCCCAGGGGTGGGGGTGGGGGGAGACTGGCAAGTTTGCCTCCCAAAGGGGGCCGTGGCGATCAGCCAGCTCCTGGGTAGCCATTCAGTCCCTCTCTGCCATGGGCACGCTCCGTGGGGTTTCTCCTCGCATCGGGCTCTGGGGGTGAGGGGTGGGGCTGCCCCAGACCTTGGGCAAGGGGACATTTTAGAGCTCGATGTCCCGCTGGGCCCGGCCAGAGGGGGTGATTCTCTGCTGGTTCCTGCTCCTGGATTGTTGCCTCATTGGGCATCACCATTCTGTGATGTAAGCATCTCTGGGGTCACTGCACCCCAGGCGGCGGCAGAGAGGCCTGCAAGGAAGAAGGTTCAGAAGTCCCAGAGGCCAAGGAGCTCAGAGGTGGAAGGGGCAGGATGAGAATTTCAGATTTTTGGACGGCTGCTCTTTCCAGTTAAGTCCTGAGTAGGAATGACACCTTGTCCCTTTTTTGGTTGTTTTTTTTTTTGTATTGTTGACTCAAATTTATAAACCTCAAAGTCACCTACTGGTGTGGTGCCTGACCTGTCAGACGCAGGACGTCATCTTCATTTCTACACTATTTGGATAGTTTTTTGGTCCAGAAGGTTTTCTGTCTGATCAGAGCTCACTGGAATGAAGCTGCGTCTGCCTCCCACTTGTGCCCTCTCTAGTCTTGTTTTTCGTCAGGTGTTAAACCAAAACATCAAAGAATGAATTAAAATCTGGGAAGAGTCAGAAATATTTAGGAGGGCTTAAAGAAAAATTGTCCTTGTCTAGTCCTATGTTTTATTGAATTCTTTGTTTGCCTGAAATTGTTACTCTGAAGATTTATGCACCCCTTTCTCATTTTCTCACCTTCCTCTCCCCCCACCCCCCCCCCCGATTTTGGCTGAATTCCTAATTTCTACTATAATTTTTTCCTCCTAGATAAAATGGATTACCAATACATCTTCTTCGTGGCTGCAGGGACAGTTTTATTGTGGCTGTTTGTTGTCCTAATTACCATGGTCATTTCCTATAACAGGTGAGTGGGCTCCTCCTGAAATGGGGGTACCTGGTGTGGCTCTGGGGGGCTCTCCATTAATGACCTGCTAGCTGCTGAGGCTAATGCAGGCTCACAGGTACTTTCGGGTGCTGTTCTCACACAGCAGAGAGCAGTGGCCATGGTGATGTGTGGGGGAAGCTGGGTAGCCCTTGTCAGAATTGGGATATTAACAAAACCTCCCCAGTTCACATCTTTCCTCTACCACTGGCAAAGAAAAAGGCTGTGTGTATGTGTGTGTGTGTGTGTGTGTGTGTGTGTGTGTGTCAGAGGCGGGAATAGGGGGATTCTGATTCTGAAAAGGGGAAGAACAGGGCTGAACAGTGCCAGTACCCTTACTTATTCATTCATCAAACATTTTTTGTGATCATGGTGAACCAGACATTGCAGCAGAGCACATTCTAATATGCAAACAGCATCATTTTGAATGGTTGCACTTTTTGTGAAACAAGCATTCTAGGTGCTGTCATTCGTTTGGGAATGTTCTGAGACAACCTTGGTTGACTCTTCTTTTTGTAGCTCATCAGTACAATTTTGTACACACTTGCGATCTTAGCTGTCATCACGTTGGGCTGGATTACTCCTTTTGCTTGTGTTCAAACTAAAGAGTCACTGTCTTTAGGAGGGAGCAAACCTTTCCTTTGATGTCCACATTTTGCATGCCTGGCACTTCATAGACATTAACATGTTTGTAAGTGAATGAAAATACCTGTATCCAGTCTTTTCTTCTTCCCCAGTAACATTACTAAACACACACCCACCCAGCAGCCCCCCCCCCAAACACACACACCCCTTATTACTAGGCTTTCTGGCAGGTTCTGCATCTGATCCTGGGATCCTCATATCTTCACCTGATGTTGGCAGTGCTCTCCATCTGCTCTCTTTTCCTTCTTTTTTTTTTTTTTAGATTTATTTATTTATGCACACAAGAACTGGGGTACAGGCCAGAGATGTGGAGGGTGAGAGGATCCACCAGAGACAGAGTGGGGAACAGAACAGGCAGATGGACTGAAATCCACTGCTGAGGGGAGCAGCTGGTGAGACAGGAGAGGTCTGCTGCGCCATGTGGGTAGCTCCCTGGCTGGGGATCGAACTTGTGCTGCAGAGGCTGCGGGACAGCTTCATAGGTTGCGTCTTAACCCCTTGTGCCACCAGGGAGACCCTGTTGTTCTCTTTTCCTTGTAACCCCTCTGAGTCCCCTCCTCTTCCAACAGATTGGCCACGACTTCCTCCTGCTAAAACATTTTCTTCCCTTCCCTCCACCACCAGAATAATGTTAAAACTCACGAGCTCTGTCACCACAGGTGCCCTGGAGTCACAGTCCTGGTCTCAAACTTGTGTTCATTCATGTCTCCTGTGTCCCAGCATCTTTTTGTGGACACCCTGATTCTCTCCCACGTGGGGCGCTACCCCAGGGACGTTACCCCCTTATATGGCCAGTGGCTCATGCAGGGCATGGGGCCCATGTTTGCCCGGGGAGGGTGTCCTGCTTCTCCCGCCCTGCAGAGAGACATGATGTCACCGGGCCAGTCACGTTGTCCCCCTTCTGTTCTCTCTCATGCCCCCCTCTGTGATCTAGCCCTTCCCATGCTCGTCTTCCCTTCATTCACAATGCCAGGGATCATATTGAATTCATTTTTTAGTGTTTGATAGCATTTTGCACCAATTTTTCCAAATAATAGATGCTTAATAAGGATCGGTCTAATTAAATTGAAACCGGAAATTCCTTTCCCTTTCTCTCCACCATGGGCTGCCCCCAGGTCTTTCCCTGGTCAGAGGGGAACAAATTTGGGTTAAGAAACTTAGGGTGTTAGTGACACTCAGGAACCCTCTGCTGCTTCACCTTGCTTGATAAAAACGTGCCAAGGGCAGAAATGACAGCAGAGGCTCCGAGGACACGGGCCATGAGAGCGTGAGCGAGTGACAGGACCATCTCTGGAGGGTCCCAGATGTTGGACATGATGGATTTAGCTTCATGAAAATGCAATGCTTTGACATGAATAGCTAGAGAGAAGTGTAGAATACATTGTCCTACTTGGTTAAAGGGGATAGAAAGAAGATTAGTGAACTTTAATGCACACTCATGGCTGCTCGGTGCAAGACAACAGCCGCTGACGCCTCTGCCTTGTCACGTCAGCCCTTTGTGCGGGTTCCTTTGCTTGCAAAGTGACCCAGGGTGTTAACAGTGACCTTCTGAACTTGTTCTCTGTGCCACGGTTCTTCCGCTCCTGATGTGCTGACTTGGAGAGAAGCGGAAATGAATGTGTGTGTGCATGCACAAAATCAAGTCTTTGCAACCCCGGCCTGGGCGCTGGTGTGGACAGAGGCCTCTGGAGCCCCCTCGCTGCCCTCGCTTGGTGCTGCAGCCGGCAGAGCAGTCACTGGGTTACGTGGACAGATAGGGCTTCTTCGTCCTCCTCGTGTGACCGGAGCCAGAACATGGTGTAGAGAAGGACCCCATGTTTGTTGAGGAATTTCACATTCAGGGAGCAAAGTGTGGGTTGTTTTTACATCTGTGGTCACTTTAGGGGTTCACAGTATTAGGGTGTCTGGGTTTGACTGGGACTGTCCTGGTTCCGGGGTTGAGAATCCCTCATGCAGGGAAACAGCTTAGAATGAAGCCAAGCAAATAACTGGTCAACCTAGAACGAAGCACAAATGCTGACGGTCTTTCTTTTCCGTGAGAGGATGGACTCTGGAGATGCAGACAAGCAGCAGCGCGCGGAGCACAAGTTAAATGGATTATCCGACTCCGAATTCCATGTTCTTGCTTCTTTACCACATTGTATGTTCTAGGTCTGTGTGAAAATATATTTGGACCTATTTGGACCTGTTAGCTCTATGTTCTGAAATAGCAGTCTTGTGCACTTACAAAAGGTTGGAGTTCACAGGCCTAGTCTCATTGCTTTATTTGCAAAAATAGAATAATAATAGTCTCTATATCATCCATTTCCTTTCTTAAGCATAAAGGGAACTTGTGGCTTTAATCACATGGATGCTAATGTTTCATTTTCTCTAGAGGACTCCAGAGTCAATGAATAAATGGCAGAGATCTGGAGAAGATAACTGCACCAGAGCTTACTGACATAGGATTAAATTCAACACATATTTTTTGATCTATGCAAGTTAATATATTTTGATAGGCAAGCCACAAATAAAAAATGTAAATAACTAACAAACCTACGAGATGTGAGAGTTCTTACAGAAATACAGGAATAAATATGAATACATTTATGAAAAATCATTGTTCATCCACTAGGAAGGCATGGATCTAATTGATTTTTTGCATTCTTTTAACCATTTTTTCTTTTTTTAATTTACTTTTCTTTAGAATTGTTTTCTAAACCTTTTCTTTCTATTGAAGTAGCTTCTACTGTATTATAAAATACTATATATAATTTTCAGGTATTCGTTGTTGAGAATCAACCTGTGTATTACACTGCATTGAGGTCATTGACGGAAGATTTCTTTTTTGAGGAGGAAATCATTTATGTGAATCACCTAATAACATGCGTTGCTCATTGTAAACTTACACATAAAATAGGCAACTGTGTTAAGAGCTCAAACACTACTTCATGAGACAACAAATAAATGTGCACAGACTAACATACACTTGCAAGCATATTGAGCTAGAAGAGGATGTCAGTGACAAGAAGAGACCACCGCAGTCGATTCCTATTGTCAGAAAAATCTCTCCTTAGGGAGCAACTGTCTTGCCTGCTTTTCAAAATTTCTGTGAAGGAGTTACAGCCTCATTTTTTTAGAAAAACACACTTTTTCAAATCTAACCCATTTCCTCAGTTGTTCTATAAGAATCCTTTCTTGAGGGAGATGAGAGATGGCCCCAGTAACCGAATGATGACTATTTTTGTACACTTGGGTATGGTTTTCTCATCTATTGCCTCTTTTGTCCTCTCATATTTTCTCTCCAAAGATTTCTCCTGAAGTAGGTTTCATAGGTCTCCCTGGGCCCGTGGAGAGTTTATTGAGTAGTATGGCTCCGAGGGACTCGTCCCCCAGTCAGATGTCCAGCAGCAGGAGATCCCAGGAGTCAAGAGGGCAGGCTGTGGATTCAAATCCAAGCACTACCATGAACCTACCATGTGGTCTGGGGCGAGTCACTCTTTCCCTCAATGCCTCAGTCCCCAGACGGTGAAGGACAGGGTTTCCAGTGAACGCCAAATAAAATAATCCATACAAGTGGCTTAGCCGAACATCTAGAAGTTTCTATAAAACTTAATTATGTTATTACTGTTATTCCAGAAGTGGGCAAAGTTGGTACGGGCAAGGAAATCTTAATTGTGGGAACTCTGTAAGTCAGGGGTATTTTTTTTTTTTAAATAATAAATTTTATTTTTATATTCCCCCATAAAATTGCAAACGCCCCATTCTGACCCCAATCCTTCCCCTCCCGCCCCCCACCCCCAAAAAGTGTCTCTGGTTCATAGTTTTTTGTTGATTTTGATTTTTCACTTTCTTATATTCATTTTCCTGGTCCCTTATTTAAGTTTTCTAGATTCCTGCTATGAGTGAGACCATCCGGTATTTTTCTTTTTCTTTTTGGCTTATTTCGCTGAGCATGATCCCTTCCAGCGCCATCCATGTTGCTGCAAATCGCATGTGTTTATCTGTTTTGAATGCTGAGTAATATTCCACGGTGTATATGTACCACATCTTCTTGATCCAGTCATCTATTTTTGGGCATTTGGGCTGTTTCCAAAGCTTAGCTATTGTAAACAGTGCTGCTATAAACATAGGGTTGCAGGTGCTCTTTGGAATTGATGTTTCTGTGTCCTTTGGGTAAATACCTAGGAGTGGAATTGCTGGATCCTATGGAAGCTCTATGTTTAGTAGGTCCAGAAATCTCCACACAGCTCTCCATAGTGGTTGGACCAGTTTGCACTCCCACCAACAGTGCAGGAGAGTTCCTTTTTCTCCACACCCTCGCCAACATTTGTTGTTGCTAGTTTTTTTAATATGTGCCATTCTCACTGGTGTGAGATGGTATCTCATGGTAGTTTTGATTTGCATTTCCCAAGTCAGGGGTATTTAGAAAAGGTTGTAGACCATTTACATCGTGAGCCACAACGGACCTTCTTTAGCGATGTCACTGAGGTGCTTTATTAACGCACCCTGGCTGGATGCCCATTTAGTTGCTTTCATCAGCAGTGGAGGACACAGGAGAAGTAGGGACAATGAGAAAAAAATTAAGGCAATGGAATTTTGGATAAGTGTGTAAAAAGCAATTGTGGAAGCTACTTCCAAAATATTTAGTAAGAGCTGTGGTTTGGGGTACAGGTGAGGTGGGGAGCGTTTGAAATAATACCAGCAATCCCTAATATCTCCATTTATATGTATTCTCAGGAGGAGGAGGAAACGGAAAAGAGTTCTCTTTGAAGCATCCGGGGATACACAGAATAAGGTCAGTTTCCTCAGGATATTCAAGTTTTCCTCTTTGTGCATAAACATCTTGTGTCAGTCCATATTGCAGTCAGCAATCTTATTTTTTTATCTGCCTTAAAGAAAATGGCCATGCAGTTGTTTTAAGTATCCTCCACTTGAGAAAACAATACTGTTTGAACTATTCTCTTGTTATTTTTTTTTTAATAGAGGCATGTTTTATTTATTTATTTATTTGTTTGTTTGTTTGTTTGTTTGTTTGTTTATACATGCACTGGGCACAGTCAGAAGCGCGGGAGGGTGAGAGAATTCACCAGAGCCAGAGCAGGGAGCAGAGCAGGCAGAAGGACCAAAGTACACTGCTGAGGGGAGCAGCGGGCGGCAGGAGAGGTCTGCGCACCATGGGGGACCCTCCTCCGGTGGCCGGGGAGCAGCTGGGGATCGAACCGGCGCGGCAGAGGCAGCGGGCAGCTTTGCAACCCAGCGCTCAACCGCTGCGCCACCGGGGAGGCCCTATTCTCTTGTTATTAATACCATTTACATTAATATAAATCCAGGGACAATACACCGACATCACAGCAAACAACAATACCCATTACCAAAATCTGGACCAGTTCCCCAGGGCAGCCACAACAGAATTGCCAGAAAGTGGATGACTGAAAACTACAAAAATCTATTTTCTCATTGTTCTGGATGGCTGAAGTCCAAAATTAAGGTCGCAGAGGGTTGTCTCCTTCTTGGGATGAGGCTCAGCAGCATACATCTCTTGCAGCTTCTGGTTGTTACTGGAAGTTCTTGGTATTTCTTGATTTGTAGATACATCACTGCAATTGCTGCTTCTCTCTTCAGAGACTGTTCCCCTCATGTGTGAGAGTGTGTCCTGTCCTCCTGAGGACACCTGTCATATTGGATGAAGTGGACCACTCTACTCCAGTAGGACCTCATCTAATCTAATTATATCTGTAATAACCCTATTTCCACATGAGGTTCCAGGAGGACATACATTTTGGGGGGACATTATCTGATGCAGGTTAGGGCATAATAATAATATTTTTATATCATATGATTATTGTGAGGATTTAATTATGTTAACCTCCATAAAAGACCCAAAGCTTAGCAAGCAAAGAGGATGCAGTACATGATACTCTATATGGACATTGACTTTGGATTAATTTATTAATTGGCAGAAGCTCAGATTATAAAGCTAAAGAATTTTCTGGTGGGCTTTGGGAGTCTGATGAAATGTGACATTTTCTTCTCGCCGTACCTTCCACTTGTTCTTTTTTTGTTTAATTGAAAGCATAGAAGTTTCCTTCTGGCTTTGCAGATAAGAGGAATGTTTACTTTCATGTTCCTTGTCTCCACCTTAGGTCGAATATTCTCTTTAACACATGTTCTTCTGTTTACAACATTTTACAATGAAATATTTCACCAAGTGTTATCTAAAATTACATCCACCTCTCCTCAATTTAATTATTTACAATTTAATTTTACATGGCCCAAACATCAAGGACTAAAAATTTGTTATAATCCGAAAGGTGTGCTTCAGACTTCTTAATAACTGATCGTGTTAGCTTTTTTCTTCTATTAAGTAGCTACTCCTGGCCAAAAAAAAAAAATTTTTTTTATAATCTGTGTGGTCTTCTTTTTGGTACCAACAGCATAGACTCAAGTAGTCTTGCTTGTTTCATCACCTGCCAGTCTAGCACACAAGATTACAGTGTTCTGCTGTGTACAATTTTTGGATCCTTTTTTTGTCCTTAGCTATTGTCCACTCAAGCCAACCCAAAGTCAAATTTATTGCTGTGAATTTCAGAGGAGGAAAGAAGCTTTGCAACTTCCAGCATTAGGTATTTAAGATTTTCAGTCTTTTTGTAGAATAATGATAATTTGAAGAATGATTTTTGTAGAATAATGATAATTTGAAGAATGATTAGAACATCAAATTATATACTGGACTGTGAGAGATATAAAAAATAGATCAACATCATTTTTTAAAAACAGATTATGTAAGTATAATGGCACTTGAGCCTTAAAGAAATGTTTCTCCTTCCACACAACAAAAGCACTCTACATTTCTAAATCTCTCTCTTTCTCTGTCCTTTTGCTCATACTACATATTTTCCACCACACACACATGTACACTCACTGGGGCAAAGAGATTTGATTAAGGGAGAGAGGATAGTGACTGTACAATATCATCTTCAAAGTGAATGTCAGTTTGCTTTGATAATTTCTCTCTCTGCTGTTCATTTGTTCATTTTAAGCCAGGACACTATGTCCTTCAAAATATTTCTTCATTAGATGTTCATTCAACAAAGATTAATGGATGCCCACTGTGGGAAAGTACTATACTAGGCTTTCCATATAAAAAATGAGAATGATTATTCTCATCAAAACAGCCTATCATTGGAAAAAGAGGGTTATGTTCAAACAGGCAATTCATACCACAACCTAGTAAGTGATCACCAGGAGTATTGCTTCCCTTGCATCTCATCAGAACCTTGCAAATCAAGAATATGACTTCTCACCAAGTTCACTACACTGAAGAAAGTGTTTTGTGAAATTGTTTGTAATAAAAATTTGACTGGCATTGTAGCTGAATTAAGGAATGATGTTTGAGTGTCTTTATTAGTTGCTGATAGCAGTGATTTTTTGACATCCTAATTTTTGTTTTTCTAGGCCACAAACAACTACAGAAATCCCATTTCTACCAACGAACCACCAGATGGTACAACAGAAGATGTTTATGTCAACTACCCAACTTTTTCTCATAGACCAAAGACTAGAATCTAAACTTTCCCCTTGATTTGAGCAAATTGATGATGACTATTATATATGTGGTTCTTCATATAATTTTCCCCCTGACTTAGTGTCTACCTTGGATACTGGTTGGCTGAATTTATTTCATTTGATAGAAAAAAAATACCATATTGCCTAGAGAACATTCTTAACTGAAATGTTCAGAAAAGCCTGACTCTAATTAGCTTCTACCTAAAAGGAAACTTATTATATCGTGTGATGAAACAATCAAAGAGAGATCAAGTTTCAGGCATTGGGTTATTTACCAGGGCTTAAGTGCTGTGTCCAGAATGAAGTACGAGCATAAACCAGTTTCTGGATCCCTTTGCATGGTGTTGGATCCACTTCCTTGGTTTTAACTCTCTCTCAGGCTTTCTCCTTGTAGTTACAAGATGGCTACCAACAAGTCTTGGCCATTTATAATCCTTGGTTCTGCCTGGTAGAGAATTTGTTTCTCTGATAGTGCAAAAAATTTGGTTATTTATCCATCTTATTTATTATTTATTCATCTATCCAAAAGGATGAAATGGCTTAAGTCAATGAAGTTTCCACTCTGAGGAGTAGGACTGGGGCCAAAGCGCCTTACTGGGAAGTTCTGAGCATCATTAGGAGAGGGAATGGGGAGCCTGGAAGCTGGGGAGGTTCCCAATCAGTGTTGGTGCAGTGACAGTCATGACATCTCTTTAGCTAACTAAAATGAAAATATGGGGCTGGCTCTGGGTTCTCTCTCTTCCTAGAATCTTCTGTGTTGGCAAAGTTCAGAAGATACTTGGCCATAGAATGCATGAAGGGTGAGAGAAAGATAAATGTGAAGGGGAAAATCTTTCCCCATTTCTACCCTCAAGTAAATGAATCTCTGGTTCTATATAGAATTTTTGCCACTCTCCCTGGTCTAGCCTTATGAGCAAATGAATAGATGTTCTAATAATAACTTAATATTTTTGATGATGAAATTTTTCCTATCTTTGAGAAATATATTTAACATATACATTCTCTCAAAAGAGTTAGATGCATTAATTTTTTTTAATAATAATAATGTGAAATCTGAATACAGGAAAAAGAATACTAGTAGGGAAGGATGGTAGAGGATGGTGAGAAAAGAAGAGCATTATAGGGAAAGTAAAAAAGACCAAAGAAGGGGAAGATACAAAGAGAAGCTTGTCCCGTTTCACAATTTGACCTCAGATACCCCAGTGACTCATTGGCAATTAAAGCAATTGGGAACCATGTCTGGACTGTCCAAATCCTAAATGGAGGCAGTAAGGAAAAGCGTTTGTGAAAATAAACAATGGTCACGATCACTCAAACCAGAACGGTCATTCCCGAGTGGTCATTCATATCTCAAGTGTTCATCACTCAACTCTCAAAGACTTATCACCGAAGCTACATTTAAGTATCCAAGTGGGGGACTGTTCACTCTTAAGTGAACGAAAACCAAACTCTTATGTTGTCTACACAGATTCTAAGTTGTCATTTACAGGTTTAAACAAATCAGTTGTCTCTTCAATGATCTTGTCTTTAAATACTAAGTATTCACAGTAGTCTGTGAATTACCAAAATGGCGACAGTCCCTGCTAGACAGAAGGGAAAACCAGTAAAGAGATCATTTGCCAGTCGTACTTATCTATAAGAAAGTAGAGTTAGTTCTAATTTTTAGGGGTTGCTTAAATTACCCTGATACGTGGAGTCACCAAGTGTTTCCACAAATAGTGTAGCAGGTTGGAAGTTCACAGAATATGATGTACAATTTTGTGAACTACATCAGGTCTGGGGAAATTTTCATGGCTGAGTGTGCCACTTTGCATAGTAAAGCAAACAACATCATTTGAAAGATTCATTATTTCTTTTACTTTAAAGTTAAAGGCAACCAAAATATTAATTCCTAGAAGATTCTGATAACCAAATTCTCAAAGACTAATGTAAGCGAGAGGGAAAAGTTTTCTACCACTGCACTAGGGAGAAATGTTAAGTTCCATCTTAACAGAAAAAATGACTAAGGGAACAGAAAGTACAACTAGTTGTCAGTTCCTGATTTTTTTTTTCCTCACAGTTTCATGGAGCACTTTTATGTCACCTAAGCTTGCACCTGAGTGTTGCAAAGCCTCCAGAACATTTGGAAGTCTTCTCTTCTGCCATGGGTGTTTTAAAATTTTTAAAACTCTTACTCAAAATTTGTACGAGAACTATTTGCTCTGTCCCTTCTTCTTTTCTATATATTATTCTTCTGCCAAGTTAAGGATTTTTTTCAAGGACTTAATACCCTCCTCAGTCCTGCTGAAAATTCTCTGACCTTCCCTGCCGGCCTACTACACTCTTTGTTGTTATGCAGATGGAATTCTGTTTATCTTCTTTCTCTGTATGTCTTTACTTAACAAAGAACTTTCATTGTAGTTCTTTATTACCATACATAGTTTGCTAGAGTTTTGTAACTCTACCACACACACACACACAGAGTACCTACTATATGTGTGTGCATATGCAATAACTCACCTGTTGTGCATAGTATGCTGGTTTGTACTAAGACATCAGCTATCAATAGGCCCACAGAACACAAGATCAGATTTGATTTAAATTCTGTTTTAAGTATTTTTTGCTAGGTGCTACTTAGGGAGTAAGGTGCTTCCTAAGATGCTTTTTTACATATATAATTTATGTTGCTATATAATACATGAAATAAAGCTATGCTTCCTTTGAATGCCATCATTTTAATATTTACATTAAAGTCACCAGTGAAAGGGACTTGCTGTGGGAGTGTAGGTACTTGCTGATGAGTAGGTAAGTTTGTTAATATCATTATAGACACACAGATTTGTCAGGGAAAGAACACATCTTATTAATACAATGACTGGGCATTGATTATATTATCATCAGCGAGACCTTGAAACATTATTGAAAAGCCTTTCTGCAGGCTGAGAAAATAGAATAGAAATTTCATTAACTTTGTAGCCATGCTTTTGAATGGGAGGCAGGTTATGAATGGGATGAGGCTATAATTTTGAGTTAGTGACTATTCAAATTTATAGAATGTTTTAAGTAATTCAGTTTGTTAAAAATACAACACAAATTTAAAATACACTATCAATTTATAAGCTAAAGTAAAATAAAAATTTCGGTAAGTTCACTTTTATCATAAACACGTTGTTGGCTTATGTAGAACGATATTAAATTAAAAACCACAGCTGCATTGCTGTGCTTTCTAAAATTGGTGCATCTATATTGTCATTAGATTTCATGTAATCAAAATGCCTCTCCTTCACTTATAATGTTTCTGCAGGTTGTGCTGCTGGTGTGAAATTTCAACAAGATTCGAGATCTTGGTGAATGAAGACACAAAGTATAGATTTAGGCACTAAATTATGACTTTAGCTTCTTTCACGGCAGCGATCAAAACATCTGAGATGCATAATGTAATAAAAGAGAGAAGACCACCATTTCCCACTCTTTGAACATAATGTCTAGAAAGTGTTGATCTTTGAGTTTGGACTTCTGCATCAATTCATATCTTTTCATTGCAATTATCATAGGTCGTCTTTACACACACATTTATCTGAAAAATAAAAGGTATTCTCAAAAACAACAACAACCACCACCACCATTCATTGCTACTGGTCCAATAGGTAGGATGTGGCTTCCAAGCATTAATTTTTATTTTATTTTTTTAAAGATTTATTTATTCATGCATACAAGAACTGGGGTACAGGCCAGATGTATGGGAGGGTGAGAGGATTCACCAGAGACAGAGCAGGGAACTGAACAGGCAGACGTACCGAAGACACTGCTGAGGGAAGCAGCGGGCAAGTCAGGAGAGGTCTGCCGCGCCATGTGGGTAGCCCCCTGGCCGGGGATCGAACTCGTGCGGCAGTGGCTGCAGGTAGCTTCATAGGTTGTGTCTTAACCCCTTGTGCCACCAGGGAGGCCCCCAGCATTAATTTTTAAAGGAAATTTTATAAATGGTCAAGACCGGTTAGCATGTTATGTATTTCCTGACTCAAAGCACTATGTTTTAAGGTATTGTAAGAAAATATCTAATTCGGGGGGTCAGTGATAAATGTCTAGAATGACAAGCACATGCTGCCTACTGTCTCTGCTTTAGTGAGCCCTCTGGTCATGTTCTTTAGAATATTTTTTCCAGTTATTTGTGTCATTTTGAACTCAGGCTTGGCAGAGTGTTCAAATGTTTGTCCAACGTACCGTGTTCCTCTGTTGAAATGACAAAAATTCAGTGCTCTGCAGCGATTAGTTTCATTTGCCATCAAAGACCATCAGGGGAAATTATAACATAACACGAAGAGAGAAATGCAGAAAAATTTCAAGTGACTGACACTTTAGAACTTTTATCTCAAGGCAACGTCTGGGGCATTTTACAAGTGCGTGTAGTTTAAAAAGACAAAGTGCTGTTGAAGGACATTTTGCAGAATGTTGTTTCCCTGCTCTTTCTGTTTTCCATCCACTGAGACAAGTTTCACTTTTGATTATTTTATTTTTCTTTACTTTTCTGAATCACATATCTTTATTACAGCTAATTTTTTCGATTTTGTAGACATTCTTTATTGATGTATATGGCCTCCCATTCACAGGCTCACCACACATGTACAAGCTTCCAGACATCTGCATTAAAATTTTGATTGGTTCATTATTTGGTGGTGGTGTTTTGTTTTTTTTTTTTAATGACCTTGTAAACATTCTTTTCAGTTGAATCACAAATACAAAACTGATTGTGCTTTCTCCTCTATGTAACTTTTTTTCCCACCTCTAGCTAATGATCGTCCCTTTCTAGCTGGGTATCTTTGCATTTACCCTAAATAACCTCACCCTCTTCACCAATGGTCTCTCTCACATCCCCAGGCCTTCTGGGATGGAACCCTCATCTTTCTAAAAATGTCCCCTAGCACTTTAACATGGGCTGATAAGTAGTGGTTCTTTCTGTAGAGTTTTTGTCCTGTGTCTCCCATCACCCAGGGGAAGGAAGAAAAAAAAACCACAACATAAAACTGGAATAAATTCTAAAACATTTCCCAGTACAAAAGGACATGAAGTTCCAGATGTTAAGTCTCGAATCAGTGTCTAGAACAAGGAACTGTAAGAACCCTGTTATATTTGGATTTGTTTCTATGAAAGTCAGGGGTGTTGTTCTAAGTACTGATGCTATTTTATAAGAAAAACAGTTCATTTACTTGGATGACATGGACTCTGATGGAATAAGCTTGGAAACAGGAGAAAATGAGCGGCGGCAATGGTCCCCAAGCAGTGGGCATGATGGGACCTTGGGTCAGGACTGTGGTGCAAATCTCAAGGCATCATCTCCCACACACCAGCATGACCCCGAGCACCACTTTTTATATGCCCCACCTATGGATGGAATAATTTTCCTTTGCAAATATCAGTGAGGAGATTTCTTTGCCCTTGAGCTTTCATCGTGGCAGGCAGGGTATAACTTAGTTTCCAAGCACTACATACAATACGGTATTTCTTCTACAGTTGCTGAACACTCACTGGCAAATGTCTCCAATAGATGATCATTTTCTAAATGGCAGGAATTAAATACACATTTTCTATATGTCCAGGACCTTGTCTAATAACTGAATTTATTAAAGATGTATCCAAATATATCCAAGATTGTTTTTTAATTCATCGACAAATAAACAAATACATATCTAGATCAACATTCTCAGTTTATGGTCTTGGAACAGTGGCTAATGAATGGCCAATGCTATTTGGGATTAGATTTGGCTATTAGAATTCACCAGTCACCCAAATAATATATAGATCTTATATTGCACATTTTTCTAGATTTTACTCTTTTATTGATTTTAAAATTGAAACATGTCCAAACAGGTCTTTGCAGGAACTATCAATATTTTGGGGAATATACTACCTCCAAAATTCCAAGGAAGAAGTTGATATATATTTTTAATTTTTTATGATATATATTTTTAATTTTTTAATTATTTTTATTTTTATATTTATATATATTTTTAATTTTTTATGCAAATTAAAATGTCACAAAATTAAAATGAGTACCATTTGATATAAAAGGCAATATTACAAAAGGAACAAAGCAATGGATAAACAGTGCCAACCTTCTATATAAATAAAAATAAATATCAAACAAAAAGGCTTCAAATGCTTGAAGAGTGATGCTTTGTGTTACGTTGCCAACCCATATTTATAAGACATAAAACTTGGGGAGACCTCTGGTAATTTGCTTTTTTCATGCTTCAAAATTTAAATAATCTCAATAAGATTTTTTTTTTTGAAATTTGCTTCTAAGATGATCTCCTTATTCAATCACTTAATCATTATAACCCTTATCCCAGGCATTCAAAAGCACTTATGCTGAAAAAGACTATTATTCTTTAATCAGATGACTGGGCAAGACTTTGCACTCTGCAAATTTCTCTACATGTTACTGAAATTTCTTATTAACAGCCTTTGATGCGGCTTCAGTTGAGTTGATTTATTCCTTTTTAATTTTATCACATGAAGTTCATCAGAAGCATTTCTTTTAAGCTCACATTAAATCTGCAAAGAAATGGGATGGCTCAGTAGATTCTGGAGACAGAGAAATCTCCTAGCTTTACTGCAATTTTGGATGCTGCGTGATCATTATTTCAAAGGGGTAGTTAATAGCTAGCTATTATAACGTTGGAGAACGTACAAAATATTATCCATTCCAGTGCTATAAATTTCAAAACCATTTCTTATATTCTTCCATTTAATTCTTAAATAAATGCTAAGATGTAGGCAAGATAATTATTAATATTCCAGTTCACAATTGAGGCAAACTAGGTTCAGAGAAATGATAATGGGTTGTGCTTGGTGCATTTGATGAAGAACTGAAATTTCCAACATCTCCTTTTCTACATGGTTCTGGGCTAGAATTGACCAATGTGGAACTTGCATGAGAGGTGGAAGAGGAAAAATACTGGACATTACTTCTCTGTAGGTCATTTTAGTCACTACAGTGATGGGCAGATATGGGGCCTGGGGAGTCACCTCTGTTCCGTGTCTAGCTCTGCCTGACTGACTCTGCTGGCTGAGACCCCACTCCTATGTGGCTTCAGATCCACAGAGGCAGTAACTACTAGTGGCCACAGCTTCATTGAGACCATTTACAAATTTCTCCTTTATAGCAAGAAAATAAGATAAAAGGTCAATATAGGTTTTAAAAAGTCAATTGCTTGCTTGTAAAACCAGTAATAAACACTTAGAATTAGAATTCAAAATTTAAAAATATTTGTCATTTACCATATTTGAGACTATAGTAAACATAAAATATTACATATATATATATATACACATCCATATGTGTGTGTGTGTATATGGTTGTACCTCTAACTGAATATGTAGAGGATCAATATGCTTTGATGTACTCACTTATCAGTTACAGGAGTTAATTTTTGGGTGTTTTCCACATAAACAAGTGTGTCTTCTACAAATAAAGATCATTTTAATTCTTGTTTCCCAATCTTACTGCTTTCAATTTATTTTTCTTGTCCTACTGCAGGAGTTTGGATCAGCATTTTGAAGATGTTCTTTAACAAGTTGAGAAAATTCTCCACTTTTAGTTTGCTGAGACTTAAAAAAACTGTGAATTGATCTTGTTAACTGCCTTTCCTGCTTCAATTGATTAAAGTGTATGATTTTTTCTTCACTGGCCTGTTGATGTGGTAGATCATAGTACTGATTTATGAATGCTGAACCAGGAATACATAATTGGAATAAATCCCAATTGATCATAAAAAGTGTTTTTATACCTTGTTGGATATTTTGGCTAAAATTTTGTGGAGGATTTTTTTTTTTCATCTAAGATATTTATAAATTTCTCTTATTGCAATGTTTTTGTCTGATTTGATACTCTAATGATGCTGACTTTCTAGAATGAGTTAGGGGTGTTTCTTCTGCTTCTGTTTTCTGAAAGACATCATGGAGAATTGGAACTATTTCTAAAATGTTTGGAAGATCATTACTTTTATTTTGGAAGGTTACTTTTTGATTCAATTTTATAGATTAGGGTCATTCAATTTTTATCTATTTCTCCTTATGTGTTGGCAGTTTGTGTCTTTCAAGGGATTAACATTTCATTTGGTATCAAATTTCTGGCATTCATATTGTCTTTTTTTTTTTTTTTTTTTTTTTTGTGGGACCCTCGCAGGCTGCCGGGGAACGAACCAGCGCTGCAGAGGCTGCGGGCAGCCTCGTGGCCCAGCGCTCAACCGCTGCGCCATCAGGGGAGGCCCCATATTGTCTTTATAAGATGTAATCGTATCTGTAATTAGGGACCTAGTGCATAGGTTAACCCACTTTTAGTTATGATATCAGTCATTTGTGTCTTTTTCTTTCTCATTTTGCATTGCTTTAGACCTTACTAGTTTTAAACAATCTTTTCAAAGAAGCAGATCTTGTTTTCACTGATTTTTCTATCGATTACTACTCTAATCATTTTCTTTCTTCTGCTTGCTTTAGCTATTTTTCTTACTTTTAGTTTCCTAAGTTGGAAGATCAGGTAAATGATTTTAGATCTTTCTTTGTTTCCAATATTGACATTTAATGCTATAAATTTCATAGCACCCCACAAATTCTTGCAGGTTGTATTTTAATTTGATTAAAATACCTTAAACTTTCTCTAGGGATGCCTTTTACTCATGGAGTGTTTAAAACTGTGTGTGTGTGTGTGTTTAAATATCGATTTGGGGTTTTTTCCTACCATATTGCTCATGTAGATTTCTAACTTAATTCTGCTGTAGTCTGAAAACATTTGCATGATTTCTGTTATTTTAAATTTGTTAAGGTGTATTTTTATAGCCCAGAAAAAGAATATTCTGTGAATTTGAGAAGACTGTGCGTTCTGCTGTTGGATGGAGCGTCCTATACAAGTCCAGTAGATGAAATTGACTGTTCAGGTCATGAGTCTTTTCTGGTTTTCTCCCTTCTCAGTCTGTCCACATCCTGATGGAGGCATGTGGAAGTCTCCACTGAAATTGTGGATGTGTCCATTGTCACCTTGCAATTCTCTTAACTTTTGCC